TTTTTTATTTTCGAAGTAAAGAAAGCCAAACGAATGCAATTAAATGTTATTTATCATCATTGAATATTAGATGAAAAGTAAAAGAGTTATTGTCCGCAGCGGATAATCTAACATTTAATAAGAACAAAACAAAATTCGCATGGGATGAAATTCCATTCTTTAACGCTGCCATGACCTTTAATTATTCTCCGAGAACGGCGTCACAACAACTTTGACATTCTGTACAATTAGTTGCTAACACATTTTCTAATCGTACACATTCCTCTTTAATTAACATAAAGTTAACAAACATCCGATGCTCGATAGAGTAATTTTCTTTATTTTCAGTAATCAATAAATAGAGTAAATCAATGTCGCGTATAATTGAAAGGCCTCCTCGCATTCCCCTCGTCGTTCCGGAACCTTCGAGAAACGAAAAGACGCCCAAGGGCAAGTTTCTCTTGCTTCAACCGTCGCCGAGGCCCGCAATGTTTACATCGCGCCGATTGTGTTGATCGGCTCGCGAACGACGACACTTTTTGCCCTTCATATTATAATACTCGCGCACCTCGTATATTCGACCTCATTCCATCAACAGCAGCCGTGCGCGACGCGCTCGTCACTTCCGTCTCGAAAGAAATGTATCTCGTCGGTCCTCGAGATACACAATCGGCATCGCGTTGATGAACCGCACAGTCGAATCGCGAGTATCGGTGTTAGAAACGTGAGCGAGTGAAATCCGGAGGACTCCAGCAGCCGGGAAGCAGGACGGATGCCGGCAGCAATACGTCACATTTCAGGTATGTGGAATCATTTATTATGCGGGAGATCTCCAATAACAAGAGCGGACGTTTAACGAATTTTCCGAGAATAAGAAGTCGGGATTTCGCGCTCGGCATTCATGATCCCGTCATCATCCGACTGGTAATCATGACTTTATGAATCTGCAATTACTTTCGTTAATCTCTGTCTGTCTATTTATTGCGTTGTTGTATATAAGAGATATTCATCCAGACAGAGACGGATAACGGTCCGTGAACGCGGATCTCTAATTCATGTTCTCAATCAAACATTCTGAATAATTCCCAACTGTGCGAATATACCGGTCTTGTGTAGATATTCAACGTTATACCGCTTCTTAAACTGCGACCTCTTTGTTGTCGGTCAGAGCTTCTTTCAAGTCTGTTTATTCTCGTTACGGGATCTAAATTTAAATGTACATTCGTAAAACAGTATTTACGAGAGCACACAACTGTTGTCTCCGCTTCTTGTTGTCATTCTTTTTCGTCAGCTTTTTCGAGAGTTCCTATCTAGACTTTCAATATCAACGAAGCAAAAAAATCGTAGCGAATATTCTCCACTCATCTCGACCAAACATTCTTTCTTTACCGCAGCTTATCAACCAGGAACGCAAAATTTTTGTTCCAGACGTTGCGGAAAGCAAGTCCGGCGGACGCGGATGCTGCACCGGAGGATCCGGTTCGGGCAGAGCAGGGTCGGCCGAAAGGTAAAGTTTACAAGTTTCCTATACATCATACATGTTTGCCTTTTCAACTTGTTCCTCATCAGCTCTTTTGAAAGCTTCATATCTCATTTAAATTTTAAATGTTGAAACAAAAATATAAAGATAAAAATCTCATATCAAAACATTTCCATATTTTCGAGTCGTCTCGATCAAAGACATTCTCTCTCTACCGCAGATTATCAACCGGGAAAACTATTTTTCTGTTTCAGTTGTTGCGGAAAGCAACAACAATCCGGCGAACGCGGATGCCGCACCGGAGGATCCGGTTCGGGCCAAGCAGAGTCGGCTTGAAGGTAAGTTTACTATAGCCCTCTGTTTGACCCTTGGCGATCTAGAGCTGGGATATAATTTCCGGCTCGATTTGAATTACGATCACAGAGGGTAAACTACTCTTTTACTCGCCCGCACTCGTTGGTCTGATCTGATGAGCGAATGTGAATTTTTTGTTACAGAGTTGAAGCGGAACGTGGCCGGCTCTGACTGCAAGTCGTTTCGGTGAGTCAAAATGAAAAGAGAAACAAAATTCTGCATGACGGATGTGGGACTAATAAATATCGTTCGAGTCAATGCGAATTGCAAATAGATTCTTGCATGTGTATGTTTGTGACGTTGAATAAAAATACATTGCTCGAAACAGTCAGGGGATTATTTGATCGATAGCCTGCATTATATACGAGATTTAAAATACCGATTGATCCTCTTTTGATGTTCAGTTGAATAAGAGATATTTATGTCTACAAACGCGATACCGTCATCAGCTGCTTCATTTTAATTTTTCAAGCGGGCCGCAGGATTATTTGACGACAATTATTTGACAATATTCAATTGTCCGCGTACACTTGTATTGTCCGTATTCACTTATACGCATAAATGCCGATACCGTTGGCTACTTTTCTTTTATTTGCAAAACAGGCTGTAGAATTTTTTGACAATATTGTCCATTCATCACGACCCCTATTGTCTCGAGTAGCGTATAATGCGCCAAAAATTGCGCAGAAATTGCGCCAGCGCACGCCGAGCTTGAGGTATCCTCGCTCGCGTGCCTTTGAATATCGCGATCGCGGTTATCAATATACGCGTTTTTACCCGCGCTATTAACAAAGAGAGCTTAAATTCTCATTTCGCCAAAGTATCGCGAACGTAAGCTTCGTCGTGACAAAACTATCATGCGTGAAAACTTTGCTTCGCTCTCTCTCTCTCTCTCTCTCTCTCTCTTTGTGCTCCGTCGGAGCGACCGGTTTCTAATTGTCTAATCTTTCCTCACATGCATTCGCGAATACTCTCGTAGATATCGATACTCCCGCATTTTCGCGACTTTTCAGGCGCGATCGCGAGAAGCGCCGTAAAAATCCGTTGGACGAGTCGATACATTTTCGCACGATTCTTGCTCCTTTCCGATCGAGTTTATAGAGTCCGTTTCGCAGCGCGCAAAAATTTTCCACCGATGTCGACGTAAAACGTTCGTTAATTGACGCAAATATCACCGCTCTAATCCCGCGTATCAACCGCGTCGCAGAAGTGTGATGAAAGTGTAGCAATCAACGTGGGACGCGCTGCAAGATGGATGCTCTGCGGTATGGTGAGCAGCAGCGGACATGGACGGACATTGGTGGATCTGGTTGGATGCAACGGTACATCATCAATATCATCATCGGTGAGCGTTTGACTCAATGCTCGCAGAGAGCTCTTTTATTATTACATTGTGCATGCCGCAAATTTGCATTGACTTTTATAACGAAAAATATATTTCATGAATTATTGCCATATATTATGGCCATATATATTATTACCATATATTGTTGCCATATATTGTTGCCATATATTGTTGCCATATATTGTTGCCGTATATTGTTACCACATATATTATTGCTACATATTGCCATGTATTATCGCCATATATTATGGCCACTTGAAATCGCGCGTACAATCGAAAAAACTGAATTTGCCGATAGTCGCAAAGGCACGCGGCAGACGTAACGGACGAATGACAGCAGCCCGTCTCAGGGCTGCCCGATAACAATGCCCTTGCTGCAATTTAACTTTAAACCACAGCGGCCTCCGGTCGCAGGAAATTTTCTATCGCGGACTAACCCCTCGAGCGGAATGTTCCCAAGAAGCGCTCTTGATATAAACGCTAGTTATAAGCGAACTTGCCTCGTTAGGGCCTCGTCGCGGTATCGTTGTCGTGAGAAATCAGGAAGAAAGGAGTTAAACATCCGTACCGTTGTGAAAAGAGGAGCGATGGCGTCCCTTCGCGAGTAGAATGTTAGGTCCTTGCGAACGCTCGCGGATTAGTTTCTTCGCGGCTGCGAACGTCCCCGGATTAGTTTCTTCGCGAAAACTCAGGCCTGGTTTAGAATCCGTTCTACGTCTTCGTGAATTCCTAGGAGCGAGGAATTTGTGAAGCACTCTGTACATATGTTTCCGATTGCAATTTTAGTATTATTTCAACTTCGAATTATTAACTTAGGGAATGCCAACGTGTGTATATATTTATAAAATAAAAATTATTCTAAATTTCCTCACGTCTCGCAATCCTAAGAGACATACCACACATACACATTCGACCTATTTTTTTCGACCTATTTGTATTAATAATCTTTGATATCTTCCGATACGTACATACATATTTTGAAATATTTTCTTTGGATATTATATCAAACGGATTTTGCGTATCACGTAATATCCTTCGGATATTCGACTACACGAACGTTATTATTTTGATCATTTCCATTTCTTTGTATACCGTAGAAAAACTGCGCAACGATAACGAAACTGTCGTTAACTCCAATAACGAGTTAAAGAATTGCACCACTGGTTGCTACGCGCAACGTGAAGGCTCCGTTAGCCGTTATGGCGGACTTGCAGCGCAAATCCGAGTGTGTTATTCTTGCATAAACGCATTAGCGTGTGATTGGCTGAGGCTTCCTCCAGCAAGAATTTCCAATCGCATCACTTAATTCGTCTGGAAATCGCTTAACACGTTTAAACACGTATAAAGACAGATTCAGCCAATTACACGCGCGTTGCACGTTGAAATAACACAGCCGGATTAGCAGTGCACTTGGCGTATAAAGTTATTCAGCAGCCTTGGCCTTATATACGAAGAATAGTCTCATGTACATACAACGTTTTCCAATTTTCCAACGAAGCAATTAGATATATATTTACGAAAGTTGCAAGAAACGGAAGATTACTTCGAAATATAGATTACTCTTTTGATAGGATAACGAAAAGCAAGCGCAAGAGGCCATCGGAGCTGTCGGCTGTACACCGAGCTCCAAAATGGTTCGAGGACTTTTTCTTACGCTTGTCTCACAAAACAGGCTGGAGCGCTTTAAATTTATGAAAAAAATTCTTGGAGGAAGAAACATTCCGCAATAAGGATCTGTATCGTCAATGCGACGACGCTGACAGAGCGTGATGATGAATGCGCGTTAATTTGTCGTTAAATAATTAAACAAATGTCCGCGCGCTCGCGCACGCACGTGTAGCGTTTCATGAAATTTTCAGGACTTTATTATTTGCTTCATTGAAATCCACACTTTAACACAATCGTGCTTTAGGTATATGAAATTGATTCTTCGCCTAGGGATGATAGAGCAGACTCTCCCTGCAAGCGTTCTCCTCTGACTTCTTCTTCAACTTGTTGAAAGCTTCGTTTATCGGGATCTGCGATGTGGCCATCTCCTCGAGAGTTTCCCGCAGGTCCTCGGTAGTCGCGGTTTTCATGTTCTTGATTAGCCCCATCTCGTACATCATCTTGATCATGAAAGTGGAGAAGCCTTTCTCGTACGAACCAAACTCCTCGCTCTTCCAGTCCCACGGGAGGATATAGTGATAATTGAGCCAATACGACTTCATCAGGAAGAAGACGGAGTTATCGTTGATCGGGTATCTGAAATGAACGACCGGTCGTCAGATGATCGTCAACGAAATCGCCTCTTCACCAGAGCAAGGAAGGAAGAGAGATTAATCGCTAAGGAGAAGAAAAAAATCTGAGACCACGACGTGTGTCAGTAAATTGGAGGGAAAGGAGGAAAAGGAATAAGCGCATCGAAGGGAAAAGAAAGCCCATCGTGAAGAACTCGTGGGAAACGCTCGATTTTATTAAAATTCCTCTCAACATGAGAATCGCGTCAGTGTTTCTTCTCCGAGAAGAAGTGTAATATATAGAGGCGCCCTTTAAGGACATACATTTTGGAAATATTTCATAATATATATCTGAGCTTTTCTATCGCGATTTGCGCATATCACAAAACTCGGGGTGCTATTCAGGGACAATATGTAAAACCATAACAATCTTACTTTAGTCCTGGCTTGGTTAGTCCTTCGATAGTCTAGCCATGGACTAACGACGAACTAAAGCTACGTTATTTCTCCAAAATGGTTGAAATTTGGCACCCGGACTAAGGAAATTAAATCTTTCAAGCGGTATTCGTGGTAGGATCTTATATTCAATCGTCTTCGATTTATCTTCATAGCCAATGAAACGCAGTCGCTAGGGAATTGTCAAAGCGCGACTTTTGAGATTCGTCTTTACATTATGAGACTTTTTTTATCTATGACAATAAAATTATTCTCAATAGATACGTTAAATAAGATAAAGCGAAGCAGCAGGAAGGCTACACTAGGAAAAATGTATTGTTGCGTGAGTCAAAATTTTGTTGTAACAACAAAATAGTTTGTTTAAAATATGCCCAACAAAATTGTTTAGTTTCTGTAAACAAATATCTTGTTTGATAACGGTTTGTTCGTATAACGTAATACTTTTGTTATAGCAACCAAAAAGCTTTAACTATATGAATTTTATTAAAAATATTATAATTTTGTTTTAATATATAAAATCTAAATTTTAGTGCACAGAAATGGTATCCATTGGGCATTATTTTGGTTTATGTAAAATAATATTTCGTTATTATGTAATTTTTATGGATAAAATAACTAAAATACTTAATTTTTCTATATGAAGTCTAAGAACAAAATCATTTGGTCCAGAGAACAAAGCAGAAAAATATATTTAGTTGAGACAACTAAATATTTTATTATATAAAACAAGATATTTGGTTGCTATTAAAAAATGCCTTAACTAAACAGTTTTGCTAGAGATACTAAATTTTTTTTCCTAGTGTAATTGGACCACAGAGAAGAAAAGTCTTCCGACGGATTTGATATTAAAAAGAAAGAATATTGAGAATATTATTGAGAAATGATGTTGAGAAATGACAGACACGAACACGAACAAGGCCAAGCAAGAATGTTGGAAGGAAATTCTTGATGACATCAACGGGTGTGTCTTAGAGCGTATATACAGGGTGCTAAATTTCAAACGTAACAGGTAAAAAATCTCGAAAACTATGAAAGATAGCCCCTAAAGAAAGTTAAAACACGTTCTCCATGATTTCGAAGGGGAAAGAGAATGGCATTATCAGTTTTTTATTTGGAGGGCATTCTCAAAGTCGGTTGAAGGTCAACTTAATTTTTTAAAATAGAAAGCCCAAGTTTTTATTATATCTTCTTTTTCTATCAATTAATTTTAACAACTTTTGTCTGAAACATTTTTTTATTTACCTAATATTTTTTTTAATATTTAAGGAAAACTTGGTAACTTTTTCAACATTTAACTTACGATATCTCGCTAACTTTTCATCGAGAAAAGAAAAAATAGTATTCGACTTTTTTACTTTATTTACTATCAAGAATATATTACTATAATAGTGCCCTGACTTTTGTTAACTTATCGACCTTTGGAAATTTCAAAATTTAATAATTTTGAATAGCGTTGAATAGCAAGATTAATGTATGGTCAAGACGATGTCGTTAGTCTCTTCTTGTATTATTGTTAGACTAAACCAAACTCATTTTGTCTTTGAATGGCACCCTGGATCTCTGCGAGAAACCTTTCAAGCGTTACATACAATATATGCCGTCCCTGTCGATGACGACAGTAGCATGACCGTTGGGTATATTGGTGAGCAGGTTGTAATAACGCGAGATATTATAAATGGCGGATATTAACCTGGCTCCTTTTTTCATACCCCAGACGAGTAAAGCGCTGTTGACCAGCCAAGCTATATGAGTCGTTATTATCAGCCGTGCTACGCCGATCACTAGCACAGAGTTGACGAACGACTCTCCCCAGTACATCACAGGCACTCTGACGGGCAATAGAAATCCGAGAACGATGAAAAGTATCCAGTAGAATCTGTAATATATTGTCAATTGACGTCGAGCATACCGATGGGAGAATGGAGATTAATTATATGCAGAGCCACTCAGAAGCTGAACTGACAAGTTTGGGAATTTATCATTTTTAGGAGGGCAAAACGTTCTCTCTGATTGGCGCTTGACTTTGCAAAACTATGAAGTTGCCAATCTCAAGACAGCCAATGACTTTGCAAATGTAAAAGCGGACTTGATTAATTCAGCCATTGACTGTCGACTTTGGGTTTGGGATACGTTATTGATCAGCAGCGAAAATGACGCGACAAGAATTCTTCGCGTCTTTATTGAAAGCTGAAGTTCCAAACGATTGGCGAACTTTGAGCCGATTTCCATCGAGTTCAGGGTCGGATCAAGGCTGCAGCAGAGAACGTACCTCTTTTGCAACCAAACGAGTCGGTCGGAGTCCACGTCACGCATATCGATGTTCTTCAGGTACGTTTGCTGATCGGACGGCACCGACAGGAAGTTGCCCAACACGTGCGCGTAGATGAAGCCTTTTCTGTGATCGTACGGGTCCTTGTCGGTATTGTGATACTTGTGATGTACTCGGTGCCACAGCACCCAGTCGTATAATGGACCCTGCGAGCGGATAAATCTTTACACGGACTATCCGGCTGATCAGCGTAAAATTCTATCGTTTTTCTTTTCTCTTCTTTTCCGCGTAACGTCGCGACGTTCGTCGTCGCGATGATCGCGGGCGCTCGATGATCATATGGACTCGACAAGACTCCGAAGATTCAGTTTGACATCACGATCACCGCATGATTGCGATAATCAATTAGCATAACGAGCTTGAGCAGGGCTTCGTCTCGCTTGACGAAAACAATCGGCGTCGCGTGAGATTGCCGATAAATCCGCGGGATCAAGTCAGTCAACGATAATCGAGAGCGTGCAAAACGTTCGTAGACTAGATGGTTCAAATATCTAGTTTAATATATATCGTGTTTGATATATGGTATATTTGGCAGCACAAGACAGTTACCACGCCGGCTAGAATGTGCGCCGTCACCAAGAAGAATCTGAGTGAGGTTGAGGCGGTGAACGTCTGATGCGCGTACAATCTATGGGCGCCCACCGTGAGTCCGATGTATGAGAATATGACGAGGGATGCAACTGAAAGCACAGCGCGACATTCGATTAACCCTTTGTGACGCAGGCGGACACCCAGAGACCCACCTATATTCCGTCAGTTTTTTATATTTTATGAGCAATTTTAATCGATCGATTTCTTAGCGATTATATTGTATTTTCTAGCTTCTTAAGAGCCTAACTAAGTGTGTAAAATAATTGTGATTACTTAGAAATTTTTTAAATTTATTATTGCTCATAGTATATAAGTAAACACAGTAAAATGTTTTTTAAGAATAAATGAATGGCAAGGCGAAGAATCAACTATTTTTATCTCGGAATTGATACGCAGGGATTTTTTTGGGGCGCTGATTACGTTGTCTGAATCCGTTGTCAGATTTTAGAAATTCAAAATGGCGGATCCAATATGGCGGACATGAAATTAAAAATTCAACCAATTTCCGTGAAACTAGGTATCTAGGGTTTTCTTGGGTCGCTAATTACGAATCCATCATCAGATTTGTAAAATTCAAGACCGATCCAATATGTCGGACGGAAAACTTGAAAAAAAACTTCAATTTCTAGAAAAATTGGTATTGAGAGGTTTTTGGATCGCCAATTATAAATCCATCATCAGGTTTTCAAAATTTACGATGGCTGATTCAATACAGCGAAGTGAAAATTGTTAAAAACCCAAATTTCTACGCCTAATTTTGAATTTCGAAAATCTGACAACGTAATCGTAAATAATTCGTAATCAGCGACCCAGAGAAAACCCCTGGATACAAAGTTTTATAGAAATCAATTAAAAGGAAAAATTTGTGACTCAAATGGTTAACCCTTTCGATACGGCTATGTCGTTTGCGAGTATATCGGATCCTCCATTTTGAATTTCTAAAATCTGCTTCCGCTATACGGATACTCGAGTTGCAAATAAGATTCTATTGTGCGGGTCAATTTTTACAGCGTACCGTATTTTACCGTGGAGGATATAACATTTGATATTCGGCAAAATAATGTAAATTACAGATAAATTGTTCATAAAGGATGAGATATTACAATGTAACATATTTTAAATTATCCAGATTTAAAAAAATTGTTTAATAATATAATTTCGACGATGGGTGACTATAGTCACCCGTAGAACATAGTGAGCGTATCCTCGCAAGCCGAATAAAGCACACGAAGAAGAGACCCTGTGGCGGTGGAAAACACTCGTAATGTTGAGGTTTTCAAAGGGCTCGAACGCTTTCTTTGGACTTTTTCTGGAACGCGGCGGAATGTCCAGCGAGTGAACGTAATTCCCGATAATTTTTCGAGCTGCAGCCAAAAGACGCGCTCGAGTGATGTTTGTTTTCTAGAAATTCTCGAAAGATCCATTCTCCTACCGGACGCGGAAAACGCAGTTCAGCTTCTCGAAGAAAAGTGCTCGATCAGCCTTTAACTCTTTATATCCTGACGGTATTTAAAGATATCGCTCTATATAAACGCTCATATATTTTTGAACTTTTTATCTGTGTCTTACTTCATATTTCTCCGTCGGTACTTACCAGTACTACCTTAAAATTTAGTCATTAAATTGTTATAAAATTTATTCTCCTATTCCTTATGTTTGTGATATGCCAAAAGCTATTTAATTGCATCGAAATTTAACAAAGTGAATCTTAAGTGAATTGATTCGGGATACAAAAGGTTGATCAGCCGACACAATCAAGCAACTAGCGATACGTACAGTACAACACAGTCATCCATTTCGCCTTGGTAAACAGAAAGTAAAATCCACCGATGCCGAAGATGTGCAGGTAGATGTAGAAGAGAATGATTAACCAGTTCTTCGACAGCTGGTTCGTTTTCTCATTGTCGCTGTTGCTGACACTGCCGTTCTGTTCGTTGATTTCCGTCATGCCGACGTGTCACGATCCTACCATCACGAAAAATCCGAGGATGAGTTTTCGCGAAGGCTCAAAAGATTAAGAGATCTTGCGACTGGCACATACTAGAGTTACATTGAAACACCTTCGGCCGATTTTACGACGGCGCAGAACGTCTCAACGTCGTCGAGAAAAATCGCTTCTCAGCGAATGAGAAGCGAATTTTCCTCCACAATAGGGAAATTGAAAACTCACGAGGACCTGGATGCTTGTCGGACGAAGGGCGACCTCGAATGAGAGCGAAACTTTCGAAACCAACGAGAAGAAAGCGCGTTTGCCAACATGCAGAAGTATATTATCAGATTCACTTACTTGAAATGTTCTTCAGGGGAAGGTTGGAAAAGAACTACTTTATTAGCAATAGCACCAGTAAGATTCTTTCGCCTTGCGACCCCGAGCATTTCATTATCATCAGGAATGAGATACGTTTTCCTTATCATTTCCTGTTAAGAACCGAATTTGCATGTTAGCCATCTCATGACTTTCGATTGTCAGTACTGAGTGTCAGTAATGAGCGCTTCGAAATATCGAAGGTGTGTCGATCTTGTAGAGAATCTCTCGCGCTTCAGTACGTCATCAAGATAACGAACGTCAACCGGAAGAGAGACTGGAGATCTCGAAAAGCGTTGCGTGTACCTCGACTCGGAAGCCATATTATTTTCGCATGTATAATCATAGTGAATAATATTCCATTTTGCCGAGGCCTAAAATCGTCTATATTTCGGATAGAACAGGCAGTCATAACGAGCAATTTATTGAATCATAAGCAGGAAGTCAATATTAAAAGTCAATGTTGAAGTCACTTCTTCGTCCTCTTGTCAAATCGGCACACACTCGACGATACTTTGATGTCTGGTAATTTTCAGGCTTCTGAAATGCCTTCGGTACGGACGATTCGGTTTCCGAGTCAATGCAGTGTCCATCGTGGATTTGTCTGTGAGACGCTTCGTATTCCAGTCCGCTCTCTTAGGAAGCGGTACGACCCGACGTCGCGACTTCCTGCTCTGCCCGTGACGACAAACTACACAATGTGTACATAAACTATCACAAGGTTCTGCATAAATATCTCCTTTTATTTGACGTCGACGAGGATATAATCGGAAAATCTACATTAATGCAAAACGAACACTCCCCCCCCCCGCGGCACGCCGTTGGACCGCGCGACAGACGGCGAGACTTGCATCTCCTTCGTGCTTTCCTTCTGCATTTTGCTCATTAACGACTTACTGGAGTAACATTAATCCAGCAACGCGCTTTATACGTATGCGATCGGCTCATCCACGCACACACGTGCGCGCGCGCGCGCGCGCGCGCGCCCACACACACACACACACACACACACACACACACACACACACACACACACACACACACACACACACACACACACACACACACACACACACACACACACACACACACACACACACACACACACACACACACACACACACACACACACACACACACACACACACACACACACACACACACACACACACACACACACACACACACACACACAGACCATCATAGGCACGATTATGTAAATAATCTTTCTACATAGCTCACGCTGTTACATCGTACACGCACACGTTACGCAATCCAAAGTCGCATCGATCAAAACACCATTGTGACTTTCGTTCTCGCGTTAATGAACACGCGCTCGGAGTGTCACGATTTTTTTTCACGGCGTATATATCGGACAGCAGACTTTAGACATTCGCATGTGGACATTTATGGCGTGTTCAAGTGAATTCATGAATTTTAACCCACCCAGCCGATTGATGACGTCACAAGACTACAAGCCAATCACAAAGCTTACTCGTGAATTCGACCGAAGAACCTCGGTTGATCGATGGGTTAAAACGCATTCACGCGAATGCGCCATTAAGTTCGTTAACATTTAGTGTGCACCTAGCTGGCGTAGAAATATGCGCCCGACCGAATAGACGTTTAACAATCGAGTGGATCATGCTAGCAACTACATCAATTACAATAGGCACACGGCTGCTTGCGTTGCTACGCTCTCACTAATGTATTCTCGCGTACTTACGACTACATCATACTCGACGTATACGTGTTCGACGAGACGTTGGAATCGTGCTGCACGCGCAGAGACTTTCATTTTCGAGTTGTGGCGCGAGCTCAGACGACTCGACGTGGATGTATTGTTTTGGTATACGCTTGCGTTAGCTTCTTATTCTTCTTTGAGAAATCGAAGTCGCACCGAGGGACACGAGAGGAGGAAGGCGTTAGGGACGTTAATGGGACCCACGCTCGCGCGAATTAGGAACTATGTATGGTGGACACTCCATCGAGGACGTTATTTGTCTCACATCGAGTGTCGTCGGTGTGTCAGAGAGTGCGGGCTTTTTAGCTGAGGAAGCCGAAGAGACAACGTCTCTGGAGAACGTGGAGATTTATCGGAAAACAAACCGGCTCGATTTATTTTCACGTCTCGACCAAGTGGACGCATTCGCGATTTCCGAATTTATCGTAGAGCTACCAGTTGTTAGGAATAACGCTTCGTTTGTATCGTGTGTGATTTGTATCAGATTTGGACCCTTGATTGCGCGCGGACTTCCGATATATCAATCTCCGCGTGGGATTGCCGTCGTACGAACTTCGTTTCACCGTGAAGCGGACGATCGATCTCCTGTGACCAGCGCTACCTCTAAGAAATTTCTTCAAGTGTATATACATATACACATATGCATACATATCGTTCGGTCATCGTAAATCACAAACCAATCCGTGAACCTCTCGCGAGAGATCTTCGTGATTCGCGTGGCTCGAAGAGATGTTCAGCTTCTCTATACAATTATAGACCTCCAATCGACCGTGCTCTTCCATTTCTCGATTAAAATATCCTCTCTCTCTCTCTCTCTTTCTCATTCTCTTTCACACACACATACACGCACGCACGCACACAAACATTAACAGTATAAATATAAATAATTTCCCGATATTTGTGTACCCCCGTGTATATTGCCACCGAACATCTTCTAATGGAACGCAGAGTTATCGGGAATGGTCTACTACCGCGGCTCGACTGCGCGCGACTCGCAGGAAACGCCAGTCCTCGTGGTCCTCGTCATCGCCGGGAGGATCCGGTCGCTACGATGACGAGTCGCGCGCTCTCACTACTCGCGCTTCTCCATCATCCTCAGCTCCTCCAAATCTTCTTTAACGATGTCGACGTCGCCGTAGCCCCAGATGTGGCTGCCGTCGCCCGACCGGTACGCTCGACGACGGATCATCGCCGGCGAGACGTACTTCCGGTCGTAGGCCCAGCCGATCCGCGCGAACGCGTCAATGAAGCCGGTGGTGATGTTGAAGGAGTAGTCGCCGAGTTCGCCGGTCTTGTAGTCCCACGGGAACACGTGGTGGTAATTGTGCCATCCTTCGCCGAGCGCCGCGATCGACACCGCGACGTTCTCCACCGGAGAGATGTTCCTGCACAGGAGTGAGCGCGATCTCATTAAGGATTCTCTACTACTCTCGACTGGACGACGACAGAGAATTCCCGTCAATCGTCTGCCGAATTTTTTTTTTTTTTTCAACAGGCTCTTGTGGAAGAACAGCCTTTTGAAGCCCATGCAGCATAGAAGTTGCAGCAAGGTTTTTTCAACTTTGTGTGTTGTATGCGAGGGGACCTCCCATATAGCACAAAATTTGCAATAACATTGCTGCAACATTGCAATATTGTTGCAACATTGTAGCAATGTTGCTGCAACTTTTTGTGCTGTATGGGAGGAGAAGCTTGTTAAAGAACAGCTTTCCTTCGATTCCACTTTCCTCCTATCGCTCGCCTTGTATTTATCTTTGCTTATGATTGAGTGCGCGCGAGAAGCCGATTTTCCGACTTAGCCAATTCCAAATTGGAACATGTTACGGTCTTTGAGGACTCGACACGTACTTGTCGTATGGCCGTTGGCCCCACATATGCGCCACGCTGTTGACGAAGAAGGCAATGTTCAGCGTCACGCAGAAGCGGAAGTTAAAGTTCACCCAGAACGAGATCCACAATGACTCCGACCAATAGTAGTAAGGCACGACCACCGGCAGTGCGATGGTCAGGAGCGCAAACAGAGGGATGTACAACCTGCGGAGATCGAATGAATAAATGTCCAAAGACCTACGTAAACCGGACGACGAGTGTCACGATTGTGGCGAAGGGAAAACTGAATTTTCTTCCAGCAGGTCGAAAGCGAGAACTCTCTCGACTGATCTATTCGAGCAACAAATTGCGAAACACGCTGAGGAAAGAAAAGAAAAATATACCAAAAAGATAAAAGACACTTATTCAACGGGCACAACATATACTCGTTTATATTAATTTACATATTTTTACATCGAGGAACCGTCCTCTTTAAATGCGAAAGTGCACTGAGAAAAAATTGTATTAAAATTAAATAAATATTTGTTTACGATATTCGAATACGACTGTGAATACATTTATTCAAATTAAGCGATTAATTTCTGAAAATGAAATACAATGGTTCCGAATGTAAACTTTTTTCCTTGAACTTTAGAAAACAAATATTTATTTAATTTTAATACAATTTTTTCTCAATGTGTGTGTGTGTGTATGTGTTTCTTGAAAGCGATTGTCCGTTCACCTCAATATGCAAGAATTTCGAGTGGAGCGAGCGTGTTACGTATGTCTCTCACTTCGAGAGGAAAGGTCTCTCTCCTTCTTTCTCTCGCTCTCGCCTTTTTCTCCGAACTCTCTCACCTCTTTTGCCACATTACTATGGGGTCCGCCTCGAGATCGCTCATGTCGACCGCCGTGCGCTTGGCGACCACGTCGGGATGAGGTGTCGTGAACAGCCACCCCACGTGGGCGAACAGGAAACCCCTCTTGGCGTTATGCGGGTCCGCGTCGGTCTCACTGTACTTATGGTGCACCCTGTGATCCAGCGCCCACGCGTACACATGTCTCTGCGGGGGAGAGAACATGGAGAATGTTAGCCTGACTGAGAGGAAAAGCCTGACTGAAAACCGAATTGAGTCATCCTTCCGACGAGGAGGGAGGTTCTTCCCCATCCGGACGTTCGCGACGTCGATAGCTATTAGGTACTTGAGTAAGTTTCCGCCGTTTTCTGTCCAAATTTATATAACTTAGTAAAATAGAAGAATAAACAATACATCATTCAAGGTATTTTCCGTCGTTAGCTATAACATTTCGCCACTTTTCAGGCAACAAATGAATTTCGCGATAAAAAAGATGTTCTTCTTTTGAGCTGATCCTCATCGAGCCAATTTCTGATATCCTCATAAGAAGTGAAAAGCTGCTCCGAAAAACTATGTTGCATCGATCAAAACAGATGGTAGTCCGATGGCGCATTGTCATGTTGAGAAATGACTTTGTCATGCCTTTTGGCATATTCTCGTTTTTCGACGTTTTTCTCTTGATGATCGACTCAAATCGACTATTTGTTCTCGATAGCGAACAGCAATGATGGTTTCATTCGGTTTCAGCAGCTCGTAGTATATCACACCTTTTTGACCTCACCAAATACTCAGCATGACCTTACTTCTATAAATATCCCGTTTTGCCGTTGATTTTGATGGCTGATCAACAGGCTTTACCCATGATTTTCTTCTTTTTGGATTATCGTGATGAAACCATTCATTTTTCATCGCCAGTAATGATTCGATGCAAAAATGACTTTCTTTTCTGTCTTTGAAGCAATAATTCGCACATGGTTGAACATTTTTCAACGTCTCTATCTTTCAAAACATGTGACACCCAGTAGTCTTGTTGATGAATGAATCCTTTTTGCTTTTAAGCATTTGCTTATAGTCGATTCATCAACATTTAATGATTCTGACAATTCCTTGAGCGTTTGATGTAGATCTTCGTTCAGTGATGTTTCCAACTCTTCGTCTTCAAACTTTTTTGGTGCACCAGAGCGTTCTTTGTCTTTCACGTCGTAGTCGCCATCTTTAAACCGTTGAAACCATTCTCTAAAACTTCTTTCGGATAGAGAGCATTGTCACCATAATGTTCCACTAGCGAACGATAACTTTCAGCTGCACTTTTCTTTAAAATGAAATAATGGAGTAAGGCCTCTCGCAAATGCTGTTTTGTCGGTACAGAATTCGACATTTTCAAGTAGCAGTAGAAATATTCGTCGTTTACACTGCAATCAAATGGCAATACTGAATATTAAACCATGATTGTAGTACTTCTATATGAATGTATTACCATCTTAAACTACACGCACACAGTACTATCTCATCTATCAATAAACGGCGGAAACTTATTCAAATACCTAATAAATTCTGGAAGGGTCTCGCCTCGACCTTCGATTCGGGCTGCGCCGTTTCGCGTTGCTTTCGGCAGGCAGAAGCTCGTAGAAACTCGCCGAGTGCTTTTGCTTTCTCTCACGTGAGAATTATACTACGAAATCACTGCAGCGACGAGCGGAGAAACGCGCTGCCTGCGCGGAGCGGCAGGATTTACGTACTTGTCCTGTGATCGTGAAGAGGAAGACTAGAAGCAGACGCAGCGGCCATTTCGCCTTGTATGCCCTGTGTGACCATAACCTGTGGGCGCCAGCCGTAATCCCGAAGCCGGACGTATAAATTGTTACGAACGCTGCAACCATAAAAGCACTTCGTGTAACCATAAAATGTCTTCGTATTCAGAATGCGCGTTGAAAGACGCGCTTTCGAGCAGAAGCTAAGCGAAGCGACGTCCCGAAATGTCGGTTTTACGTCAACCACCCTTTCCACTTGGCGCGATCTTATGTCGAATTTAAAGACCAATGAGAAAGTCCTGAAGTCCTGAACACAACATTACACAGGACACTGTCCCGATGATTGACGCTGCGGATGAATCACTCGCAACGCCATTAAGTCCCCCCGGAAACAAAGTACCGGAGAATTCGACGCTTACTTCCCTGAATTTAGTCTCGTTCATTAATCAAATGCAATTTAATTGGATCTTAAAATCAAATCCATATTATCCATATCACATCGGCCACGCGGTTGCTGTCTCTTCGTCTTTGCAGCTCCTTTCTCCTCGGCATCTTCGAGTCCCCGATCTCCCGTCAAGATTTCCAGAGCCGGCAAAATGGAAACAACGCAGGACAACGATGAAACTGCCTTGTACGGTCGTCCTTTCGGCTCTCCGAACCGGACCGATGCCTCGAATTGGGTCAACTCACAGTGACATGGTGGTAAACAATGGAACGAACGAAATATTGAAGAGTTAAGCGACTGGGAGGAATGTCGATCGCAGGGATCGCGCGGGTCTCGATGCCACCGTCGAGCGAAAATCCAATACGCGTTATCCTTATCGCGGTTTACTCTTACGTTTTACACCCGTCAGGTATGCGATACTCGAGCGGTTACACCCGCTCGAGTATCAATCATACACGAACGCGCGTTTGCGTAGTCGGTTTTATTATTTCTTTTTTGCTCGCTCTCTCTCTCTCTCTCTCTCTCTCTCTTGCGCGCGCGTTCCAGCTCTCCGCTTATTTGCTATCGCTAACGGCGTTGTAGAATGCGACAAAACTCGGAGCCGGCTCGTATCTATATACGAGCGTGCAAACGCGAGTTAATCATTACAGCCGACGCGGCGCCCGTCGTCTCGGCGCTCAACGTGTGCATCGGCGACGCTCGGCGTCGTCTTTACGACTGTATGGTCAAAATGGTCGGTGTATTGTTGATACACGCGCCCGACGTGATGACGTGGAGAGATGGTCAAGTTGTATAAATTACGTCGGGAGGAATAAAAGGCGAAGGACACGCGACGGCGGGGAAGGATCGCGCGCGATTAGCGGAGTCCTCGTAGTACAGTTTTGCACGTTCCGCACGGAGAATCTGACGATCTGACTAACTTTGATGATCGTCCTTTTAAATAGCACTTTTACAAACCAATCGCTCTCGCGGCAAAGAGATTAATGAGAGAGACCGTCGAGTTTCAGCCGCGACAATTAACATTGTTTTGCATGCGCGTAAACGCTCTGCGAGCTGAAGCGAAAGTTTTCGGGCTGCTGAGATGTTTCGTTCTTTTACGCGAAACTGACCTCCTCCCGACTTACTTAATTTCTCATTAATTAATCATTTAATTTTAAGAAATTAATTTAAGTCAATGAAAATTAATTAATCGGCAAATATTTAGAAGTACACAGTCAGCTCCGATTTTAATGAGACTAGGCTCATTCGACGCGTTTTTATACGAGAAACAACTTTTTACTGTGGCAAAATCGTCGCTCAGTTCCGCGAAGCGAGATATGAAGCGTTAAAGCAGATCATAATTCAGGTTAGGAAAGCTGTTATATCGACGAAGTTTAGCGACATAAACATGCCTCGTAACTAACATAAACTTCCCGAGTAATATGCAAAAAGTTTTAGTTCGTGCTCACTGTTCGTTAAAAAGTTATTAACAAATGAAGTTAGTGATAAGAGTTTGCACCGAACATGTATACACATACACACCGAAGGGGGCACCCGTTAACCCTCGAGGGGGATGCGGGGGGCCTTCGGCCCCTCACCCGCATCCCCCTCGAGGGTTAACGGGTGAAACTCGCTTCATATGGAAAGTCACATGTGAGTTTGCGACTTATTGCGACTTTCCACATGAAGCAAGTTTCACCCGTTGACTCTCGAGGGAGGGTGCGGGGGGGCGAAGGCCCCTTCAATTCAATCGAAGATTTGTGAATATTGATAGTATACTCTCTCTCTCTCTCTCTCTCTCTCTCTATCTTTGCAGGGAGAACGGATAGATAACGAAGGGGGTAAAAAGAGTGATAACAGGTCGCGAAGGCGAGAGATTGTCGAGGAAGGAGCGGATCGAGCTGGCTTTCCGGTGTGTGCCAGCCGGAGCTTCATCAACGCAGCTTTTTGTGAATCGCCATGCTGGTCGTTTATTGTCGTCGAACGGCGCGACCTACATTTTTGCCGCGCCGTAATTACACCGGCGCGACGCAGCGGCCGGCCTGCGCTTCCGCGACATTCTCGGGTTTCTCGCGCAGGAAGCGAATAAGAGCGAATGATCGCGACGCGATCGACGACCGCGGAGAGTCGCTGTTGGCGAATTCGGATTATCGTCGGCGAGTTGGATCGGCGACTAAGGCGAGCACACGCCTTCGTGCGCGCTCGTGCGTGCTTGCGTACGCAAGGCGGAGTAGTAAAGAGCCGAACGCTGTAACTTTGACGAGATAATGATATTATTAGTCATCATTTTCTCGCAGCGATGTTATGACATCGAGTCGCGAGCTAGTTGACTCGCCAACTGTAGCGCTGCTATGAGTCAGTTGGCTTGCAGATAAGCACCTAGTAGTCGTAGTATACACTGATTACGCAGCCATCCCGTCCCGATAAATTGCACGTCTCTCAAGCGCTCATATGCGCTGGAAACTCACGATAATGAGATTTTATCTGACGTTCCGGGAACGTTTCGAGCGCGGCCGAGAATGGCATTCGCTGGAATGGCTGCGACGCGGCCTCGAGCAGCCGACTCGCAGAGGTCCAAGCGCTAAATTCGAGTGAAGGAAGGACTTGGAAGGAGATTCAGCTCTGGATTTATTCACCGTCCGAATTTGCAACGTCTCTCTCGCCTAGTCCTCTCGCTTCTCTCTCCTCGATTCTACCAATCCCTCGGTCCGCGGTCGTACACGTACAATTATGAATAATTTAATCGACTCAAGCAACATTGAGAGAGGCTCGACATCATTGAGACTCTCGGTTATTCAATCCCTAAGAATCCATTCCGACCAGCGAGGTGAGGACGATGCTGAAGGACCGAGGCTAAGATTTTGCTAGTGAATAATTCGTCCGCGGTTCCCTCACTGGCCCGAGTAAAATCCTCAGCGACGGAGAGAGCTTGATGGAGAAGAAGCTGGAAGCCTCAGACCACCTCTCTCCCCGAAGAAAAGCGAATTGTAACACTCGCGAAACCGACTCGAAAACCGGCAGGGTAGCACGAGCGTTTCTCTAAAGTACGAAAGCCGAAAGTATCGCAACGAAGGGAGCTCGGCGGAAGCTTCTCCGCACAGCTTTCGGCAGGCACACTTACCCCACACGGTCGTCAGCAGCTTCGCCTGCGTGAGCACCAGGTAGAACCCGTACAGGCAGCCGGCGTGTATGAAAATCTGTACACCGAGGTCCAGCCACTTGATCCGCGGCTGGTACTCGACCTTGACCGCGGACTCATGGTCGTCGGCGTCGGCATCGTTCCTCTGGACAATCGACCTTTCACCTTCCATCTTCAGCAGCGGCTTCGCCTTCCACGTGGCCACTTCGGGGACGGCCGGCGCGTCCAATGCGGCGCAGCACGCTGATATCCTCTCCTTGTCCGGCGACATGATCAGCAGGTCACTTCTCTCTCCTCTCTCTCTCTCTCTCTCTCTCTCTCTCTCTCTCTCTCTCTCTCTCTCTCTCTCTCCCTCTGCGAAGTTGCTCCTCTAGGTGCGCTCAGGGAGCATCTGCCGAGGTCCTCGATCGGCGATCGTCGACGTTTCGACGTCCGGCTGCGCTCAATCGCCGCTTTACATTTCAAGCTTCGCGGCTGCGCGAAGTTGCCTGCGACGTCCACGCGGCGCGTCACGTGACTCGTATCGATCGTCGCGATGTATCGCGCGCGATCGTCGTCTTGCGGAAGCTCAAGTCGCTGTGCAGCAGGACGTTGAATGGCCACGCTGATCCGACGATGAATTACACCTGCAACGATTGAGAATTTCTTTCTTGCTCCTTCGCTCCTTCGATAATAGCTCGCGTCGCGACAGCGACGCGATACCGGGAGGGGGGAGGGGGCGGCTCGCGCGAAGAATAAACGGCAGGAGCGCGCGGGTTTATGTAAATCATCGCAAGGCTGCGTCTCGTTAACACGTTACGTTACGTGCGCGAGTCAGCCGAGCATAACCGCGTGAGAACACAATTTTCCACGCTGCCTTAACAGGCCAGAGGCGACAGGTGCAACGCTTCGCGCGTATCTCCTGAACGCCAATACGCCAAATGTGCGCGTACACACTTACGCGTGTTATTATCAATGTAATACATCGGCCGAGGTATGGCGGCGGCCATTCATATTTCTCTTTTGACATCCCGCTCAACTAGCAAGAAATATCTCTATTTCTATATATCACTTCATATTCCCCTCGCGCGCGCGAGATTAAGCAAAGTTTTATCGTAAAGGCAGATTTTTATGATTGTGATTACAATTACGAGAACGGTTACGGTTACGGTTATGGTTATGTAAGGGAATACTTCTTTGCGCTGATTGCCCAAAGAGTGGACATCTTTCCCGTTTTTCGCTCAATATAGCAATGATGTTCGCGATAATAAGTGATAAGAGTATCTTTACTGATTCAACGGCCGAGAGTGCGGATTACGCAAGGCGCGACCTTCGGCGGATGTTGAGGATCGTCAGGACTGAAATCGCCGTCGGAAAAAGGACGAGATTTCACTCACTCGGAACGGCGGAGTTGCGAGCGACGCGGATGCTTCTCAAGGCAGCGACTACTGCCCGATTAAGAGCTATTTGTTGACCGCGATGCGATATCTGTTGACTGTTGGTTAATTTTATCCGAACGTCAGGCTTTGTGCATGGCGATAGAACGAAACAATAGATCGATCGACCGATCGAGAACAATTCGCCGCACGATTCTACCGTGTGTGCCGCGAGTCGGACGAGTTTTTACAGTCGCAGATATTTATTCTCGCAGACGCGAGACTCCATGGGGCGTCTGGTGTAAACAGAAATATTAATATAATAAATGAAATTAATATAATAAAATATTCCACGTGAGATAAAGAAATGTCCTACGAAGGAAATAGGAATCCTAGGAAGATGAAAAAGCCACATAACCGTTATTAAGCAACTGACAGCCATAAGGCTGTCTTACAACTTTTTTTCTTTTAATTTGTTACCTATCGATTAGTAATTATCGGAAAAACGCACACAGGAAACGATATGTCGAAATTTGTCGCTGCGATAACTTTTGCGTGGGCCTGCAGTCGCGAATGTGTACGATTGGAAAATATCGATAATCCAATTTGCGTCGAATCTCCCTCGTCTCGAGGCTATCTTGACGGTCACCGTGTTACCGCTTAATGACGGACTAATCGCTCGAGCTGTCTTATTAACTCCTATATATAATTATTAATAACTGAATATTTAATTTAATTATCATTCATTTTCTTTTCCTTTCATCCATATTAATATCTGTTTAGCGCGACTGTTACACGATCGTTATAACATCGATCGTTAAATCGTCGCGCGTCGAATATTTATTGCTCTTTCGCCTCATGACGTCGTCAATAGCGGCAAAAGACATGAATTTCAAATTTCACTCGATCGATAAGGTTACATTTCAATAATGGATAACCTTATATTCTAATAATTTACATTTTTTTAATTTTCTGACGCGAAGGTCTCCGTTGCTGATTTAACACGTGCGACACCTAAATCGTCATTCCACGAACGTTTTTATGACTTGATCCATGAACCTGGGTGTCTGACGTCATAAGTATTTAACAATAAAGCATGTCTTTCTTCCTCGTGGCACATTCCCCGTAGCGTTTCCGTCGTCGACGTGAAATTCGATCGATCAACACCAACGCGTGGTGAACACCGCGACTGTTCACATCGCGTGTTACCGACGACGCTCGAACAAATTTATGAGATTCTCCGCACAGCTTGCTACCCGAGAAGTATGATTTTGAAATCTGTTTGACCAATATCACTGTTAAATAAAAATAAGGGGACGACAAAGGATAAAAAGATATCGCGTACCATAATTCACGTTAGAACATCTTATTTTAGTCTTGACTGAGTGCTTGTTCTCTCTCTCTCTCCATTTTGAGTCAGATCTAGTGTCAACTTCCGATACGACATGTTTCTGTAAAATTAATTAGCACTTGCATATACATTCTATATAATTATATTATATGAATTTGTAACACAAAGAGTATGATATAAGTAAATTTCTTGAAGTAAAAATTCTTGATTGTACGAATTTATAAAAATAAGTATTAACATATTCGCGACAGTCGCGGTGGCGACGGATATATTTTTTTATATTTTTAATACAGTTTAATCAACAAACAAACGCACGGCGGGAGGTAACCGCATACATGACTCGAATAGAGCCATTGCGTTGCATCTACTTATAGACGGAGGACTCAACTTCTTGCGGTACAAAGTTCGCGGGCGAGCATACAACAATGATTGTCGACGCGACGTTAGAATAGCGACCGGGGATTCACCAGCGGCGAAGGACAAAAATATACGGTGGTCGGAACGGCGCGAACCGTGCCTGAAATTATTCCTTATTTCTCTCTGTCTCTCTCTCTCTCTCTCTCTCTCTCTCTCTCTCTCTCTCTCTCTCTCTCTCCTCTCTCTCTCTCTCTCTCTCTCTCTCTCTCTCTCTCTCTCTCTCTTTCTCTCTCTCCGTCTCGATAAGCCCATTAGCTCGACCAGCTTCCCGAATATCTTTCGCGGTCGGTTTAATTGTGTCGGCACGCTCGGCTGGCGATCTATTACGATAGATGATCCATGCGATTTCGGTCCACCATCCGAGTCTAAAGGTGCGTGCACAAAGTCGAGCCGAGTTTCCCCCGTATTTGTCGCGAACGAAAGGATGAAAGGAGGTTATAAAATCCGTAATGCTTTTACGACACATATTTCTTGTCTTCTCGCCCGATCGCCGCGCATCTTACGAGCGCAGACGCCTTATTCGATGACCTGCTAATTAACCTATACAACGCGTGTCTAACACTAGTACAACACTAGGAATAAAGTCGACATAATTCTCGAAGCCCGCTTCGAAGGACTAAATAATCGCTCAAGCGGCTGTTCGCGGAAGGTACACCCTGTATATACCCGAGTCGTCCTTCGAGAAGGAGACGACGAGTGTATTCGGCCGGGAGGAACACGAAACAGGGCACGGTAATTCCCGGCGAAGCGGTTGTGCGGCTCGCAGGCAATAACACGCGCGTTCGATAATTGCGCGCACGCCGGGTATAAGAGGCCGCGTGGGTTTCACGTTGATGCCGCCTTCGGACGAATGACGACACGTCCATCTTCTCGTGGATGTTTGATGACCTCATGCGTGTGATGGAGCGCGCGTCTTTGCCGCTTTTCCTCGGACGGAAACGAAATGCGTTTCTCATCCGCGACTTTCTCTCGACCTCGGTCAAGGTTCACCGCGAGAGGACTCGAATTGGCTGCCGCGAGCCGCGACCTCGCTACAGCCGCGTATTTTGCCCCGAGAATTAATTAAATTCTCTCGTCGAGATAATACAGCCGTTTTATCAGAACACTTTTATCTGGACGGGACGAGCCTCACCTCGTTGTGTCAATTTTGAGTTCCTCGAGTGGTTGCCGGTCGAGCTATCTTCATGGTCGCTGCCCGCGAGATTAACAATCTTGCACGACCTGGATTTGTAAAGTAAATACGCCTCGATTGTACGTAACTTGTCATCATATGCACGTACAGTGGCGTAAATAAAGGGTGTTAAAACACAGTTAGGGCCTCGGGGCCTCCAAGGACCAAGAACAATTTTTCTTTTTTTTTCTTTTTAAATATTATAAATATAAATTTATACATATTATTCGTGTATATAAAATGTTCTTTCTTTGTACATATGTTTATATATTTCAAAAAGAAATAAAAAAGTTCTTATTATTATTATTATTAATTATTTTATTGCATAGTTAAATTTTATTTATTATTTGTACATAAATAAGATGGCAAAATAAACGATGTATCTAATTTCTTTTTTCACTTATAATACTGCAAAAAATGCCTTCCGAGGCATGGGAGGCCTTCGGCGGCCATCCGGCAACACCAATGGGCAACACCAAATGGGCAACTCCAAATTTTATTTACGCCACTGCGTACGTACGCGCAAGAGGACAGGACGAACGTGTCATCCACGTGAGCGTCGCGCATCGCGGATACGCGAGCGCTTATTTAATTGCGGGATTCAGCAGCGACGGCACGCGAGGCGAGGCCGTCCGCCACGCACGATCGATATTTCTCCGTAAAGTCGCCCGCCGCGGCTTCGACTATCGCATCCTCGATCTTTGCTTTGACTATGACGAGCGCGCGCCGGGCGCCCATGACGCGCGTAATGTCGCGTCGCAACGCGCTGCTCTATTTTCCCTCGCGGCGAGCTCCGTCTGCAATTATTTTATCTACTCTCCTCGTTTTTAATTGTCCACTTCGGCCACGTGAAACGCCGGCCGGTTCCACCGGTCGCCCCTCCCCCCCCCCCCCACATTAACCCCAATTCATCTCGACGATTGTTCATTTCGATCGTCGATAAGTGAGAATGCACTCGCGCCCACCGTTTGTCCTTCGCGGTCGCCCTCGCGAGTCCCGAGTTACTTGCCGTCGAGTTACTTTTCGCCGCCATTCTTCATCTCACGGCTGGACGAGACGCGAGATCGTGAATACTTTGGAAAAATACTCGCTCATTTCTCGCTCGAGTCGATATTTCGTCGGGAGGGACGCGCGTTCGCGTCGCACACCCGTTATATCGTCGGGAACGGGAGAGACGCGCCAGAGAGTGGCGCCGTGGATCTTAAGTATAGGGGATGGATTTGAGGTCCTTTCATCAATGGAGATGTTTTCCCGCCCCGATATCCTTCCAGAACCGCGCCCGTCCTCCTCGACAGTTTGCCGCGCCGGCCGTGACGTCCGCGGCGACTTACGACGCACAATTTTTCAGATAGCTCGCTTGTACGTCGCGCAGTAAAAATTGCCCTTGATATAATATTATTATACGGATAATTTGGAAAAACGAGGACAGGCAAATTATTCTATTCTTCGAAATTCTCGAATTGCCGTCGGTTGATCAGACTTGAAGGAAAGGCCGAGTCGACGGATATTTCGAAAAGTGGAGCACAAATAATGTCGCGCAACGTGTTTAAAAATCGCTCCTGACGGATTTAGAACACGCAGCGAGGGAAGAAAGCGGCGAGAAATATTATACCAGCGATATTTATGAAAAGCAGAAGGGAAGTTAATCGAAGTCGTCAAGTTAAAGGTCGTTCGAACAATGTTGATTCTTCCGCGAGAATATTTATGAAACATCGCGGCTGGATCGTTCCCGCTTAATTCCTGCGACTTGAGACATCGTGCAGTGCTGGGCTCGAGAAAGACGAGATAAACACGTGCGTCTTCCGATAAGGCCATTTTAGGCCGATCGATCGAGAATCGCGCGATGATAATTCGAGCTCGCGAAGCCGGTTGTCGCAGATTGGCGTTATCGTAGGCGTTCGCTCGCTCGCGACTCGCGAGATCGCGTATCGCCGCACCTGCGCCCGTGAATCTCTTATCGGGCGGTAGCGATAACGATAACCGATCGCCACAACGCGCGTGCGCACCCGCGCGCAGCGATACGCCGCTCCGATTCGACCCGTGAATGAATCGATCCGTTAGCAATGAATCATTACGTGCATTGAAAGATATAATAATCGACGTGACTCATCGGCCGGCGAAGGAGCGGAACGACGTAATTCGCGGTAGCGTGGCTCCCGCGACAGAGAGATCGTTTCTGCGACTCGCTTCGGCAAGCGGTATCTCGCCGGGAGTATGTAAACATATTACGTGTTATCATCATTACTCGAGCAACGACGGCGGAACATGCAAGGAGAGACGCGGCAGAAACCTCATCGCGCGGCGACCCGAATCGACGAAGTCTGACGTTGATGATGAGAATGATGAGGGTTCATTTGTGGCCCTTCAACTTTTTCACAAACAATTTACGGAGTATCAACGATGCAAAATTAATTCGACTGATATGCCGAAAGGCACGACGTTTCTTGCGAGAACACGCCCCGACGATGCTGGAAACGACGAGTTTCCTAGGATGGCTCTGAGCCCAATGAGCGCGTTAGCTTCGCGCAAGAAGAGAAGGCGGGAGCACCCAAAAAAAGTATTCTATTAAAGTAAAGTGATTTTTACCCATAGTCTCATATTCTAAGCGAAGCTTTTTACAGAAAAGGGATTCCTCTTTCGATAAAGCGATTAAAGTGAATCATTCATCTCAAATTTATTAGATATCATTCTGTTTCCCTCTTATTTCAAGAGGATTCCCTCTTATATTAATTAATTTGCCTCTTATGTGAAAAGGAATGTGTTGAATCGAATGTCCACCTGCAGATACGAACGAAAAAATAAACGTACGCTCATGGGTGAGAATATTCGGAACGCTTTTTCAAAAAAGATATGTGTGTTGCCGTAACAACATATAACGAAGATAATTTTTTAAGAGGATTATTATTTTATTATTTTATAATTACCCGTATTTGGTCAAATACAGTTTATAATCTATTGCAAGAAGTTGAATAATATATTCTTTCTTTTACCTATGTTTTATACAGTTGGTTATGATGTGAACATCTTTGTAGCTATGAAGTCCATAACAAAACTGCTTGGAAATTTATTTGTTATGATGACCTTATTTCATTCGTACCTCCTTATTGTAGAACTAGAAAGTCAGAAGTACATCTATATATATATATATATGTATATATTATTTTTCGCTATATATTATAATAATTTCTTCAACTTATCCAATATAACCAGTAAGAATAATATATCTATAATAATATGTAAATATAATAAAATAATGATCCTCTTAAAAAAAGATTAAATAATCTGTGTATAAGAGAAAATTTATATTAAAATCAATAAGATTTGCATTATACATATAACATATAATTCCTCTAACTTTAAGGAATAATGTGTTTATAATATTTTCCTCTTAATCTCAGAGGAATCCTCTTGAGGCCATATGTAAGAATAAAATCCTCTCAAATTCAGATGATTCCGCATGTTCTGAAATTACATGCTTTTTTTGGGGTGAAGAAGCCGACCGCGAGAGAACC